TTGGATAGTAGTTATTTCTTGATTGGGAATTAGATCTAGAAACAAATCGTTGTGTATTTGAATTTGATCTGGAGTAGTTATTTCGACTATTTGGTCTATTGTAGTGATTTTGTGATGAATTATTCGTGTTTCTTCGTTCTGGTGATCTTCCTCTATAACTTGAGTTATATGGTGATTGATTTCTTGTATAATTTGTATTGTTCGGGAGTGGTTTTCCTGAACTGTTGTTGCTGTAGACTGTTTTGTTCGGTAGATTTTGATCTTTTTTCATGTATTGATAGAATGATTTATTTGGTTCTTTATATTTTTGAGGTTTATTTTGATTGTCTTGCTGTTTTTGTCTACATTCGGAAATACTATGTCCGTATCGTCGGCAATAATTACACCATTTTTTGAAAGATGGTTTGCCTTTAAAGTTTGGGTTCTTTTCGTAAATATTGAGTATTTCAGTGATTTTTTCAACGAGGTCTGTCTCTGATTCCTGTATATTATTAATATTAGTGGGAGTCGTTTCAATTCTGTTAACGTATTGTAATTTCAGATTTTCCGTTTCTTCTAGTTTCATCGTGATTTCTGCTTGTTCTAATTTGTCTACTAGTTTTCGAAAATCTAAATCGGGTTCTCGAATTGAAGAAGGATGGGATGCTCTCTTTTTTATTGCTATTTTCCTTAATTGTGGTGTTAAGGTCATCATTAAGATTTCTGTCATCTTTGTGTTTTTATAGTCGTGTGTATTTAATGAATATGCTTTTCGAACTAGTGTTTCGATTCGTACTGCTATTTGCTTGATGGTTTCGTTTGGTAATCTGCGAATTTCATTACATAAAACTCTTTGTTGTTGTTTGTTTCTTTCGGAGTCAAACATTTTTGAAAATTCCTGTGTAAACCTTTTCCAGTTTGATTTTATTTCTAGAGGTAGTACTGAAAACCATTTTTGGGCTGCGCCATCTAGGGTTGTTTGTATTAACGCTGTGCGTCGATGTATCCAATTTTGATGTAGTGGCGTATTAATTGGTTCAGGTCCAATATTTAAAATCAGGTTTGCTGTTACTGCATTTAAATAATCTTCTACAGAGTATTCAGGGTCTGTTCCTGTGAAAACCATTAAAGGTTTGTTTGATGTTATTGATGATCCACCCATAAGGTATGGATTCATTGTCATTTGTAATGATTCTGCTGCATTTGGCATTTGAGAAAAATTTGAAAGTTGGTTTCTATTTATTTCATGTTGTTGGAGATAATATGGGAGTGGTATTTCATTTTGCATTTGTGATGGTTGATACGAGTGTGCAGTCATTGGATTTTGTTGTTGAATTGGCTGAAAAGATTGTGTATTAATTAGATTTTGTTGTTGAATTGGTTGTGGAGAAAAATTTCTATGATTTGTACGTGTTCTCTGTATTCCTTGTCTACGATATTCTTGAGTATTTTGTGCAAATATATCTGGTTGTAAGAAATCATCATCTGAGGATAAATAATCCATTTGATAAGATGTCTGTTTTTTATTTTTATTTTGTTGAAAAAATGGGTAATTTTCACTGTGATCCTGTGGAGGATTTGTTTGGAAATTTATTGAATTAGGTTGGGTCATTGGGTTATCCCAATTTCGAGATCTTGTATATTGGTTAAAATTTCTTTGTGGTTGGTTATATGTTTTTGATGGATGTGTATAATTATAATTATGGTCTGCAAAGTTGTTTCTAGTGAATGTTTTGCGTGTTTTTGATGGTATTGTCATGGGTCTGTATGTTTGGTAATCCATATGTGAATATTTAGGAGCAACCGAAGGTTTAACGGTTGATTGTAAGGTTACCTGTGTTTGTGAAGGATTTGTATTTCTTGGTGTTGTTAAATTTGGGCGTATTGGTGAAATACTTTGTTGTGTAGTTGTTGTGTGTACAATTTCTTCATTTATGAAGTGTGATGGTGTCTGGATATCTTGTTGAGTAAGATTCCTAGTTCCATTGAGGTTTTCATTGTGTATGACTGTAGAGTTTAAACTATTATTTTGTGTATCGGGCAAAAATGTATTATAGTTTAATGGTGTTGCATCAATGGTTAATGGTATTACCTTTACATAATCTCTTATGTAAGATATCGTACTTATTGCTTGACTTGAGATTGATTGTGGGAAGCTTATAAATGCGGGATGAGACCATTCGGGGTCCCAAACATAATCTGATTGTTCTGTGATAGCGGTATCATCGTTCGAGTTTTGGGGTCTAAAATTTTTTCTTGCTTGTGCAATTAAATCAATATTGTGTGTGAAATAATCTATTATGAACCATGCCAAAATTTTTTGTAGATCGTGTTTTGTATGTTGTGAAACGTCGTCTTTCGTGAAATTTTCTTTAATGATGTTTAAATAACTAGAGAGTAGTGTGATTTCATGTCGTACTTTCAAATGTTTAGATGTTTCTGTCGGTGAGACATTTGTTATTGGGATTTCGTTTTCTAATATCGAAATATAACTATATATTATTGCGAAAACTTCATTGGTGAATATGGAGTTTGCTCTTTGTGAGTTATAATATTGGATGCTTTTTATATATTCTGAAAAAACTTTTGAAAATTCTAAATCAAGATCGTCTGTTTGAATTGTATATTTTCTATTATTATGGTTTGGTGAGGTGAATTCTATGGAGTAGATTCCATACTGTTGTGTTATATTGCATATATCTTTTAAGTAGTGGTCTATGATTTGTCTTTTGATTTTTACATCTGGGAACTCTGTTTTACATGGACTGATTCCGGGTTCAAATAAATTTATAGGTAAATTTTTGCAAAATATATGCTGTCCTCTATCAGTGGTTGCATCTACTATAAAAGGAAAGATTTCATCATCATCTGGACTTTCTTCACCTGGGGTGTGCGTTGAGCTCATTTTTTCGTTCCATGACTGTTAATATGTAATTATTAATGTGTCGAATTGGTTGGTTCCAATTGTATAAATGTACTGGTTTGTGTTTATACTGCTTTTTTATTCTTCTTTTTCCTCTTTTTGATGAATTTGAAGTTGTTTCTGAGTCAGAAAAATATAATTGATCGTGAAGTGGGCAATTTTTATCTATTGATTCTTTTAGTTTGTAAAGTTCGTCTAAACTGTTGGTTTCTGATTCTGAAAATGCGTTTCGATTTTTTGAAAATCTTTTTCGTGTTATTTGTCTTTGTTTCGTTATTATTTTTCTTTTTAGTGTTTGTCGTTTTGTTCGAATGTATCCAACTGTTTGTGTATGAGGTGTGATTACAAGGTCGTATTTTTTGTTATCTATTTCACAATTGTGTAAAACGATTGTTTGTTTATTTCCTAGGTTTTTAAATGACATAAGGTTTAGGATGACGGATGCAAAAGGTTGTTAAATGGTTTCTATTTCCTTAAACTGTTAGTTCTTACGATTTTTTGGTTAGCTTAACCTGGGTCTATTTGTTCAGGGTTGGAGAGAAAAGTATATCGATTCCGAAGAATGATTTTTTACTTTCTCGTGGCTAGTATAAGTTAAGGTGTTAACTTACTTAATCTTACTTAGGGGTAGTGATTGTGTTCAAGGGTTGGAGAATAGTAAATCGATCCACAGGGTTCAGGTATAATTAGAACGCGAGTAGTTCGTTAGATACTATTTTAAACTTACTAAGTCTAAGATTTATCCTGGGTCTGGTAAGAGGGGGGGTCAAGTGAAGGATGAATAACCGAAGTTCTTCACTGTTTATCCTAATTTGAATGATTAGTTTTGTTTAAAAATTTCTATTAGTCTTAGGTCTTTAGAAAGGGTTGGGTAGTGAATCGACGTTTGAGGTCGTTAGACACTAATTAAGTGGGTGGGGGAGAACAAAGTTGTTCTGTTTGATCCAAGGATAAGCCTTGATGATCAAATTTGAAATTTAATTAAGTAGAAAATGATTTAAGATCCAAGGATAAGCCTTGATGATCTGGTTTTAAAATTAAGTGAATTTAAGTTTTAATAAAATTTTAAATGTGTGTAAAGGAAAGATTTAGTGTTTTGATGATATTAGTGGGTTTATGATTGCTGTTATGTTTTAGATGATGGAGCTGGAACAACAGGATGATTTATGATTACTAACCATTTATTGTCATGCTACTAATTTTTATTTTTATTTTTCAATAAATTTTTTTCAAACATGTTTTGTATATTACTGCAGAGTTTTAGGAAAACGATCTTAGATCTTTTTATCAATCGTGATTGTATATTAATAATTTTGTGTAGCGCCTGAAATGATTTTGAAGATTAACTTCAAGGTTTTATGTTTGCAAATGAAAATCTAAATTCATTGCCAGTAGTATTCTAAATATAAAAGTTTGTTCTGGTTTTTGCCTAACTATCATGTAGCTATATGGCAAGTTTCTACTTTGTCGTATGTCGTCTCTGGTTCGAGGTCTTCTTCCAACTCCGGGTAGTTCTGTTATGGTTCGGAATATTGGCTCTGATCTATTGAGTCGTAGAGACATTTCGATTAAATTATTGTCGTATAACATTTTTTAAACGTTTTTGTCTAATTTCTAATCTATTTTGGTTAATTCTAAGCTATTAAGGTCTTGTTCGAGACTTATGGTCGCACCAGATGAGTTATGACCGAGTTGGTTAACTCATAGAGTAATTTCGGATAGGGTACACCGTCTGCTCGTCACGCTATCTTATTTTCGGCCGGATAGATTCGTGCAACTTCTTAGTCTAATACCGATCCTAATCTTACTCTTATACTATCTAGTCTCAGGTTGTTTAACTAGTCTCTGCTAGGCTCAATAGATCTAGGGTATACTGGTTTATTGCGGCTGCTGAAGTGCTCGGGAGAGTCCAACTAATTTCTAAGTTAAATTCAAATCTCTCTGGTGCTGAAATTACAAGTAACTTCAGCACTTACAAATAAGTGGGTTGTTAGTTAGATGGATCATGATTGGTTAATATTAAATACTTTACATTGGTAAAATATCTAAATTATCCAATCATAAAATGTAGTCTAGATCAGGTTCCACTATCGCTCACCTTGATTTCGATCATGGCATCTCTGAGCTCACGAGTACACTGATCAACTGATTCCACATGTACAAAGTACTTTCCCACCTTAGGATATTTCCCATTTCTAGTAGACCCACGTGACTCATCACAGCTAGCTAAGGTGTATCTAGAAAAAAAACAACTCGCCAATGATTGGAATATAGCGGAGTAAATTAAAGAGGAGGACGACAATTTATGTCACCCCCACCCCTCAGGATCTTACTAACACGCGGATATTTTACTACTTACATATCCCCTTTTTACATTTTTGGTAGACCGCCCCTTAAATTTTACTGCAGCACCCCTCGAACCATAGAAAAATCCAACTGATATAATTTGCCTCCAGGAGAAAGCTTTTGTGCCAATTAACTTGGCTCCAAACCATTTGGAACAACTTCATTATCTAGTTATATCACCTCTTCGGCGTTGAGCGGCGTAGACACAAATACAAGGCAGAACTTCAAAAAAAACAGAGCGATCAAAAATACAGAATTGCAGCGTAACAATTACTGTAAAAAATATTTGTCCAAAAAATCACCTCTTATTATTTAAGCCCAAATAATTGGTACAAGCGTCAGTATAAAGACATAGCCAAGAGACAATTGGAACAAAGTCAATGAACGCAAGAAAACAGAATACTGACTCGATTTTGTGAAGCGAAAAAGTGAAAAATAGATGGCTTTAAAGCCCTTTGAGTTTCAATAAAAAATAATAATTGGCACATTTTTGATAAAAATAACTCAACTTTAGAAGCCTGGGTCAATAGTGTTTATTCCACTGGAAATCTCTGAACATCAAAATCCAATCGAAATTAGAAACAATAACGTTTTTGTGACATTTACACTTTTGCTGTTCGATATTGGAGCTGTTTTCGATAGTACTGTTTTTTTCGAAAAAAAAAGGAACGCAGACAAAATCAAAAAGCTCCCAAAACGTTTAACTAAAACATAGAACAAAAATTTACGTCATAAAAAATCATTTCTTGGAACGTAACTACTAATAACCGGAATACACTGAAAAGATTTTCAATAGTGAAAATGCTTAATATGTAAGAAATTTCCGTGCTGTCGCAACTCAGCCGACAAAAAAAGAAATCGGACAAAAATTATTTTATCTACATAAAAAAAACTAGTGTTGGCCGGATTCGAACCACGGACTTTCAACTTCGCAGATATGTGCATAACCACCATGCCTCATTTGCGGATTTACGCCTTGATTATGATTTTATATGATCCGAGTAGTCAACTAATACACCGATTATATTATGTTTCAACGCTTTCTTATCGCGCGCAATAAAACGGCACGTACCGCACATAAGTTAATTCAAATTACTTTCGAAGACCAAGGATTTCACAAAAAATCCCGAATGCTGTACCTAGCAGAATTCTACCGCATAACGGATTAAACAACGCATATGCATTATCTTACGAATTTTGAGCTCAATACATTGATATCTTCAAGATGGCAACAACGATTTGCGGATAACAGTCATTACGATCATGCAAACAAAAACTCTAAAAATTCTCAAATTTACGGATTTGAAATCACGATTGGATGCTTTTGGGAAAAGAAGAATTGAATGAGTTAATAAGAGTAACACATAATTGCTTTCCTGAATACAGTGCTGATTTAAATTAACCGGACAAAACGCGTTAAACTTGAAATTTAAAACCCGTTTTTCTCAAATTGGGCTGAGTTTAGGTGAAAACTTATGAAGACAAAACTTGCTTAAAATTTTAGCAGAATTAATATGGTGTAAATTGTTTTGCGAAAATTGGGCCCGAAATTTTAGCCCAAAAATGGGTCATTTTGGCTTTTCTTAGTTAATCAAAAATTACGCCGAAAATACCCAGTCGATCACAGACATAATTATATCATAGTGAGACCCTTACGTAGCCCAACAAACTTTATGAAGGGTAATTTCTCCAAACTGTTGTATAAGTTAATTTTGTTTTTGTTTGATAGACAAAAAAGGTCGTTTTTACTATATAAAATACCAGCTTTTTATTTTGAAACAATTTTGAAACATTTTGCAATTTTTTTTGGAGAAAATACCCATCATAAAGTTTGTTGGGCTACGTAAGGGGCTCACTATGATATAATGGGTGGTCGACCGGGTCTGTGATCGACCGGGTATTGTCTGTGATCGACCGGGTATTTTCGGCGTAATTTTTGATTAACTAAGAAAAGCCAAAATGACCCATTTTTGGGATAAAATTTCGGGCCCGAATTTCGCAAAACAAATTACACCATATCAATTCTGCTAAAATTTTAAGCAAGTTTTGCCTTCATAAGTTTTCACCTAAACTCAGCCCAATTTGAGAAAAACGGGTTTTAAATTTCAAGTTTAACGCATTTTGTCCGGTTAATTTAAATCAGCACTGTAGCACCATCTTAATGAAGAATTTACATTTGAAAAGTAATTAGATATTTACATAAAAATTAAGGAGCGCATACTGTTGTAGTCACCTATTGCCCTTTGGAAAAGTGACAATTTCGAATCCAGTTCGTCCGCGTTTACTTTGCCAATCTTTTTGTTCTTCTGTCAAGAAGCCACACCAGCGAACGGAAGGTTCTTTTTCGTCCAAATATTGTGCTATTTTTCGCATCAATGTTGTCTTACCGACACCTGGCACGCCAGTAAGACCCAGTTGGCGCCAATTCATAGTCATCAATTACAAGACAGTAAAATCTAAAAACAAAGATTGAAACTCAAAAGGCATTTCATATGAGATCAGCAGAAGTTATAGTTATTTATCTGGATATAAATTAACAGCGACATATGAAGCACATTACTCTGGAGTCGATGAAGGCAGTTGTTCAGGTCCATAAAAAAGGCTACGATGAACTTTTTGATGAACTGTGTACCATTCGCCCAGAAATAGAAACAAAAAAAAAACATTCAAAAAATAAAATTTTCATTATGAAAAAATTTTATTCAATTTTTTTTTAATGAACCTGAACTTGTCCAAAAGTCTTTTAACTCACTTATTTCATTGCAACAATAAGCCTTTATGAAGAACGTTGAGAAAATAAGAAAATTGAAACCTCGAAAAAAGTCGACAGCTAGAATTAAGCCAACGCAAATACACAATGTAATGAAGTTTTGCATGGTTAACAAACTAACTGTAGTTACATCGTATATTTACGCTTTTAGCCATAATTGTATGAAAGACAACTATGAGAAACGAAAATTAGAAATGCAGGAGGGGGAGTGGAAAAGAGCCGACGTCAATCACGTTTTTCGAGATCTGAATTTAAAAAGAAATGAAAAATCGAACCGCGAAACAAAAAAAAATGTAAAGTGGAGCTTGAACAAACCTTCAGCCTTTTCCTTGGAAAACAAACCACGAAAAAAAATTGCGACTAATATAAAAGTCTTACAAACGTTCATCAATTCTTGAACAGACAGACAATAGTCCAAAAATACTGAAACTTTCTAGTTTTAAAAAAATATTGACTAACCACAAGCCTTTGCCGTCTCAAGCATGTGTGTTACCTCTTCACAAATCCCATTTAATTAGATTTATTTAATAATGCAAAATAGGAGTAACATTTTCACCTGTTAAATCTTGCGAACAAAGTTATTTACGCGAAATAGTCTAGTACCCGGTTGCAACACATTTGCTTATTGCAAGGGTAATGAAAATCAGTGAGAAACCCTCAGTCGAACTAACGAGATAAAAAAATTCTCGTGTCTTTACTGCCCTACTCGGTTAACAATCAGTTTAAAGCACAATAGCAGGGTGGCCACGGTGTGACACTGAAGAAAATGAATGCCTGGCACTGATATTTGCAAGAAAATAAATATTTTTTCTGTTTTTGACAAAACTTTAAGCACAATTTAAAACAATGACTGCTTCGAAAATTATATTTTCAAAACCAGGGGCGGATCTAAAAATTTCTCGGGGGGGGGGGATATTTTCACTATTAAGTTGCTAGCACTGCTATGTCACTGACAGAGCACGCTTCGTCCTGATTTAGAACTGATCATGCCTTATCAACTTCGTGTAGTCATATTTAATAAAACAGCTGTACGAGCAAATCGTGCTTAAATTTTAAGATACTAAAAACAGCTGTACGAGCAAATCGTGCGTAAATTTTAGGATACTAGCCTTAAAAACACATATGAAAAAAATTGTATTATCATGTTGAAGACTAAACCAAAATCCTAAGAAAATCTGAAGAGTCAATTATACTTTGGTCTGTATTCGAGTAGAGCCATTCATACAACATAAGAGGATCTAGCCAACCAATTCTTTCCAATGGCAACGGGGACATATTATCACTACTTTCAAATATGCTCAATACGCTTAAACATTTGATTCATTCCATTTATGACTGGATATTCGCTGAGTTCGCGTGTGTGAGAGAGGGGGGATGGGGGGGGGGGGGGGGTTTAGGACTGGATTGTTGACTAGATCCAAATAAAAATTCAATGAGTTTATCTCAGTGTTAGAGCAGCTGTCTGTCTCTGCCTTCTGCTGTCTAGTAGCGCATACTCCAGAAGTTCTGGTCTCGACTATGGGTCTTCATGTCGTTCTGTTTCGTCTGCAGTCTTTCCCTTTGTCTGTTCTTGAACCTCTGCAACACCTTCAGTTCTCGAATCGAGGGCACATTTTTGGACAGAACTGAAACGCAACATAACCGACGCTGAAAGTTTCGGAACTACTGGTGGCACATTACAAAAAATCAAAGGCGTAACCAAATCTGCATCCATGTCTATTAAACATGCCTCGAATAATTTCAGCCCAAATTATTGGTACACGCGCCAGTATAAAATCAATTTAGGGAAACAATCTTTAAGTTTGTACGAGGAATTCTTTTTTAGCCAATCAGAATTCAGCCTTTTCATGTTGATTAGCTGCTTAAATTTGCCATTTACTTTCATGTTCACAAGTTGATCTTTCAGTTGGCTTGCTTATCGTAGAAACTTCCAAATTTCTAAAAACATAATTATTTAGCTTCCCCCCCCCCCGTTTGCACACCCTCGGGGTTTCATTGCCAGCAAACTCACCCATGGAATTATGGAGCGCCTGTGGGTTGGACCTGAAGCCAATGTACCTCCTGCTACTGTCTTCAATTCCTTTTCTCGAATCAACTCTCTCCGTTGGAGCCCTTGGCTTCTGTTTGTAGTACCTACCCAACACAAAAAAGATTCTGAGCACGTTTCGCCGCTCCTTTTCCAGTAACTCTTCATTTTTTGAGCAAATCCAATTTAATCATTTTAAAAAAGTTTTCAAGCAGTTTTCTTCAATCAATACTTCGAAAAAAAACCATCGTAATGAAGTTATTCATAAAATGTGTTCAGTGCGTCGAAGTAGTCAAAAAACAGAAGTTTTCCAAAATGTCAACTGACCTCAGCAAACTACAAATTAATTGAGCTATCTTGCAAGGCGGTGGGAAAATTGAAAAAAATTTGGACTAATAAAACAATACAATCAGTAGACCTTTATTTATTGACAAAATTCTGTGTAATCAACTATTCTTTTTTCAGTTTCAGTCACATTCAGGTTATGTGAATTCAACAACCTAGTCAACCGTCCAAATTAAGTTGTAACTTAGAAAACGATCCCTTTTGCTGATATCTATGATTCAATTATGCCATTTTTCCATAACTGAGAGACAATCTTTTAATTTGTAATGATGTTTATCTAGCTCTTGATTGCTGACCTCAACAGTGCACGGTGTCCGATGACTGCGCCGGATGGCAACACGAGACTGAAGTCGTCCTCCAAAGCACTGGCCAGCAGTTGCTCCAACTTAGTCCCCAGAGGGTCATCTCCCATCACCCCCTCCTCTCCCTCCACATCTTCTGGCTCACTAAAAATTAAAAATAAAAACAATTCATTTCAGGTTCATATTTAAATCAGTCAAAATACCAAAGCAAACATACACTAAAAAGTTAAGCTAAAAAAATAATAAATTTGTTTCAAGTTGAGCAATAATCCAACATATAATAATATTTTTAAAAAATTGGAAAATGTTATTTGCCTTCCTGTTAAGAACGAAATTGAAATTAATTCAATTGGATGGAAAAAAAATAAATAACTACACCGAAAAAAACATGTAGCGGCTCAAATTATCAAACTTTTTCCTGAAAACAAAGAAAACAAGAAACCACACAATCTAAATAAGTGTATTCAAACAACTTAGGCAAATAGTCAAATCAAGTACATAAAGGAGCGTAGAAATGCAAAAACATAATCAACAGACAGTTGAAAAGGAGTCGAGTCATAAACGCAAGGAAATAGAAAAAGTCTTGATCTCAGGGAAAAAACACCAATGGTAAAACGTTTTCGACATTATGTCATCATCAGTAACTAAAAAATAGCAAAAAAATAATAATAAGACAAAAAAGTCTGACTTGTTTCGAAGTCTGACTTGTTGTTTCGAAAAACTTCAAATGTTGAATTTCAAACAAAAACTATATGACCTTAAAGCTCTTTGAATTTCAAGAAAAATTTATGATTGACACTGATAAAATTAACCCAATTTGAGAAAACTGGATCATTGGGTAGAATTTTAGAATTTTCAATCAGCTGGGAAATCTTTGAATTAAAATCCAATTTCGAAAATAAAGTCTATCATGCTTTTCAAGAACTTTAAACTTTTGCTATTCGATAGTGGAGATTGTCTTCCTATTAATAAAAAAAATCAACGGAACTTGAAAAAAGATAAAATCAAGTTTGAGCGTATACAATTTCTATTTTTTTTTCTCGAAATATAGTGGGGAAGACCTGAGACATGCATAAACGTTTACATATTTCTTAAAAAAATCAACAAGACATATAGAAAACTATTGACAACGTTCATGACTATTAAACACCAACTTAATAGAAAAAGCTTTGCAAAAAAGGAAATTACCTCCTGCAGGCTTCCAAATTCCAACCTCTAGAGCTAGAGACTAATCTCTTCGCACACAACTGCTTCATACCGCCTATTTCGCTTCCGAACAGCAACCACTAATGAATGAGATAAAACACACGTTTTAAAAGTGTCAAACAGAATTAGAGCAGTACACAGATGCTAAATTTGAGCACTTTTGTTCAGCACTAATTTATATTATTTATGCAAGAGTGAACTGATATAAAAAATGAGCCATGGTACCTTTCTTGTAAATGTTTCAAGCTAGTTATATTATTAGATATCATGCAGCAAGGCATGTGTTTTGATAAGCAGATACAGCTGGATCATATGCTGGGCGATTAGCGAATAAACTTCGAACGGGCTAGGTCTTTCACCAGACCACAATGCAATAACTCGGGGAGGATTCTCATGCTGGAGGGACCGAATGCTGGAAAAATTTCAACCAATCAAAATCGCTAAGCGTTCATATTGGCTAAATGCCTCTCACAAAATCTAAGTCAATATTAACAGAAAATGTATCAAGCTGTACAATTCGTGCAGATATATATATATTTTTTGTTTTTCCATTTTTCGTAAATTGGTATCCTTGAAATATTAAATTTGCTCCAATCTGCCTTCGATCCGGCCATATTTGAAAATTCATCTGCTTATTATCTAATCGGTCAATATTTACACTAATGGCCTGGATTAGCTTGAGATTTTTGCGATTTCCCTGAGAATTTGGAATACTCAATTCTGATTGGCTGAAAACAAGCCAAAATAAATTTCAAGCATTCGGTCCCTCCAGCATGAGGGACGTCACCCAATAATTCAATAAAGATAAATTTAAATTAGTTAAACATTCGAAAAGGAAGCGGTTAGAACAAACAAAATTTCGCTGAGAAATCGTGAAAAAATTGTTTTTAACCAGATTAAACGGCATCAATACATCTGTCAATCAAATTTGTTTATCGAGTCTGGTAAAAGGTCCATGTTATAACTTTTCCGGTAAACGGTCGGTCTCCACTTCAGACAAATGTTCACCTCAATGAGCGACTCTGGTTGTAAAAAGTGAAACTGGCCATGTAACAATATGCTTGCAAGCTCCTTTAAGTAATTCAGTAATGGAAAAAGAAAACATAGCCAATTGACAGTTTAAAAAGAGTCAATGAAATGCAAGGACGCAAAAAACACCAACAAAAACATCAAAATTTGTTTTTAAGAAACACCAACTTCGAGTTTCAAAAAACTTAAATAAAAGGTAAGCTTTTCCTTCCGGTGATAAATCTCAAAATCTACTTTCGAAATTAGAAGTAGGTCACATTTGTTGTGACCTTTACAATTTTGCTGTTTGATAGTGTCGTTAGCCTTATAACCAAGAAAATGAATTGAACTTAAAAAGAAATCAAAAGACAAACCGCAAAAAAAAGTAAATTTGAGCCCAAACAAATTTCTGAAAAAATCATCACGACCTATATAGGAGTCTGAACTACGTTCATCGACTTTTAAAAAATTTGATAATAATAAATCTTAATAACCCATTGAGTGATCAGAATATTCAAAGAATAAAATTATTCTCCGAAACGCCTGCAAGAAGGACGCTTATTAAATTAAGATCTACTTAACAATTACCCCATCAAGAAGGGGGGTAATTGTTAAGTTGATCAAGTTAGTCGAATTTTTGACCTATCAGAATACAGCAAAGTTCTAATTATAAATAGAACACTCTAGTGCTATTTTACTGCTTTTATTTATACGGTTGACAATTCTTTAGTAGACACTTTAAGGAGGCGATTGTTAAGTAGATCCGTAAATTTTTACAAAAAGGTGAACAATTTCGACGAATTGTTAAAAAGCACACTAAATTAATGTCTTTACCCTGCGCAATAACATTCAATTCGGCTTATTTCCAGTTTCCCATCTCCTCATAAAATTACAAAAAAAAACTGTTCAAAAATTGTTCACACGGTGCTTTGCATGTTATAAATGTTTGAATTTGCTCACCTGTTCATGCTGACACGTTTTAATGCAGTTTATGACGAAAATTACAAAATAAAACTGTTCAAAAATTGTTCACACGGTGTTTTGCATGTTATAAATGTTAGAATTTGTTCACCTGTTCATGGTGACACGTTTTAATGCAGTTTATGACGAAAATTCATTTTAAGTAGACTTATTTTTATTGAATTTCAGAAAAAATCAAGAGGGAACTGGAAAAGAGCCTTCAATTCAGATTCACTCATTTAATAACAATTCCTTCATTAAGAAAAGGCAGAAAAAAAAAGAAAACTCAATATGTAAAAATAAACGAGCAAAAGTGTCATATTTTGACTTTTATCTTCCCTATCGTCTAATTGCACAATAAAACATTCGCTCTATTCTACTTTCTCCACAGAAATAAAATTTCCAATTTTCCAATTTCCCCCAAGTTATTTTGGCTAAATGTTTTATGCTACGATGTAAACTATGGAGAACAAATCTTTTCACAATAGCTAGTTTGTTCACCAAGCCAAATTTCCATGCATTAAGACAACGTTAACGTTAAAATGGTTTTTCGAAATTGAATTTAAATGTAAGGAGGAGTGAGGGAAAAGAGCCAAAACAACATTGTCTAACAACTTTCTTTGGGCTCTTTTCCACGTTCCCCCTACCTTTCAAATTTTCCGATTTTAGAGAAGCTAACGTGTTATTACGGTTAAATGCGTGATGTTACGATGTATAGTATGTTCACTTTGGCAAGTTGCATTGCATTTCTGAAAATGTAAAAGTAGTTTTTCAAAATTGAAACTCCAAGGTGGAGAGGGGAGTAGAAAAGAGCTTTTATTTGTAGTAACCAAGTGACTTCAATCCAAAATCTTTAAAAACTAAAAAAAAACTTATCACAATAAAAACTTAAAAAATTGCAATGCGCGCGATTCAAAGCATCGGAAGTAACAGTGACTCGTTTCTGTTCAAAATCAGTTTTTTGTTTGGCAAAAACTGTCCCATCGATATGCTTTCGGACCCGAAAGCACGCGAGTTGAACACGCCAACTGAAGTTCAATACGATTACCTTCGTATTTTTCAAAAAATTTTCGAAAATTTTTCCGACCTTTTTTTAGGTCGACCAAATTGATTTTTCGAGCTCTCCCTAGGCTGGCTCAGTTTAGTCCCTGTTTTGCCCAAATTTTATAAGCCGCAGGCAAAATTTTCAAAAAAACAGTCAAAAGACATTTTTAGGCACTTTTTGAAAAACTTAGACCAAAAAATCGCGTTTTTCGGCGCGCGTTCGCCCCTCAAAATTGGTAAATATTGGCGCCAAAGGCGCCTTTAGAAAAAATTTTAGGGTCGGTCGGCCAAAAAGGGATTTCTTCATAACTACTAAAGGGGGGACCCTTTGGGTCGGTAGGGGGTCGAATCCCAAGGGGGGGCCTCCGCCCCCCCCCCCCAAATCCGCCCCTCAGTGCACACAAATAAAGAGAAAAAAACTTTCAAACTTCTAGAACAATCTATTAGTGACACTTGTCTGATAAAAATTAACCCCATTGAAAAAATGAATCAATAAGTAAATTTTTTATGTCGCTGTGAAATCTAAAAGTTACACAGAGGCCAAAATGCACTTCGCATACACAAGCAAAAATATGACCGATAACGCTACTGGGAAAAACTGAATCAGTAAAACTTTGAGTCGGCAAAATTTCTCAAGTGATGCACGCCAATGATGAATCTACATAATTGCTAAGTGACGCAGTACCAGTTTGAAAATAAAGAAACTTACCAACTAACATGCCTCAATTTATAGAGCGGACGCATTTTAAAACCATTTATCAAGCGGCAACCAATCCGACAATATTAGGATAGATGTATGTTGAGCCGAAACCAAAATTGGTTTTTTATAAAAAGATTTGTTGTTCTCATTTTGTTGCAGTTCTGATTTCAAATACGAAATACGTAAAATTGTGAGCTAATCACCAAAACAGAAATGTAATGAGATTAAACTACAAGACATCTACAATATACGAGAGGCCACCGACGCTTACTTGTAGAAAGTGACGTATTCGAGGAAGTGTTCCGGACTGTCATGTGCCATGCGGGTGTGGCCCTTGTCACTCATATGTCTCCTTACAGCCCCTCCCTCCCCGAACCTTCGGCTTCTCCGCGAACATAACACACACTGAAGTAGCACCTCCACTTTGTAATCTGACAAAAAAAAACATTTTTAAGAGAACATTTTTGAAATAACTTCTTTTATAACATTTACGACCAAGTTGATCGAATTAGACTGAAGGTTCCATAACAGAAAAACTCATCCAACTTAATTCTTGTTCGATCCGGCATAGTTGCATCTGTCAATCTTAATTAAGTTATTTGTATCTACGCTTCTCATCAACAAGACTAAACAATATTTAGACATGTCAACAGAAAGTTGGAAAACTTTCAATGAAGTCAAGGAACCAAAAAACCGATTGACGTTTTTTTAAAAGCATTTTTCAACTTTCAATCTTCGGAGAAAAAAATATCACGTTAAAGCTCTTTATAATTCAAGAATCTTTTATGGCTGACTCTTTTTCCATAAACTAAACTAATTGGAAAAAACTAACCTAATTGAATGAATTGGTAATTTTGTTACTCTGCAGAGAATTCTGATAATTACAGTTCTTTTTACAAACAAAAATCCATTCGCTTTATTCACACCATTTGCATTTTCGTTATCTGAGATCCAAATTTTCCTTCCTTGTAGCAAATGAATTTGAATGGAACATAAAAAAAATCAGAATTCAAACTGCGAAAGATCAAATTTGAGCTTGAGCAAGTTACAGTTCTTTGTCGCAAAAAAAAACGAAAAACTCACCATCTATATAAAAGAAAAACCATTTAGTTTTCATGAAACCTTTGGAAAATCTTGTTTTGTAAAAAGCGATTATTTGAAGAGGAAGATTAATGCTTCTGATGCTTACGCAGGTAACAAAGTAGCTGGCCCAAATCTGCCACCAAGTTGGGGTACGGCACGAAGAAACTATGATTCTCTTCCATGTGTCTCAGACACTCTTCCATACTTTCATGCTTTTTTCTGTCGAGACAGAACACGCATACACTGGGGTCAAACGAGGTCATCATCTTCAACCTCACTTGCGATTCCTCCGAATCATCATCGTCCATTACCTCCCAGTCTTCATCTTCACCCTCCCAGTCTTCATCTTCACCCTCCCACTCCCAATCCTCGTCAGCGTCGTCGTCCTCCATCGGAACATTCGCTTCTTCTTTGGACTCAATCTGCTCCTGGGGAGATTTCTCAGGTTTGGATACTAGCTGAATGCAATCTGAGGATGTGTTAATTTCTGCCGCCAATTGGCGAGATATGTCGAAAGACTCGCTCGATTTTCTTGATTCACTTCTACTTGTTTGACGAGCTGCCTGAAACAAGAAATATTTCGATAACAACTCGTACTTTTCTGGTTTACCGCCACTACTAAAATTATAATACAAAATTAAGTGAAAACTGTTCTTGCATGTATGCACGGTGGTAAAAATCAGTACATTTGTTCACAGTGAAAGATTTTATTGCAGTATAGAACACTTAAAGATTTTAAAACAGGCTTTCGGTCACCGAATTTCAGAAAAAAAAACAGGGGGAATAATCTGATTAAGGTCTCGAAGTACATTTGACAAATTTGGATTTTGAAATACAAAATTTGAAAACTCAAGGAAACAGCAAAATTTGAACCTCATAACGTTTAGCACTCTCAATATGTTTTTTGCTCTGCAAGTGATTATTCAGAGCCTGGGTTGACTGGAAATTTTTCTGACAAACTGTGCATCTGAGCTGCTGTTTTTCCGGATCATATTCTGCAGTTGGGACTGTTGACTTGGCACCCCTTCCGCCAGAAGATGCTTTATTGCTTTGTAGTTCTGCGGTTACACGCTTCAATTCGAACTCCTCGCGACTGACCGGTGCGAGTTCAACTACCTAAAAGCAATCAGTTACGATACAAAAATGGCAATGTTACAGTCCTCATGACAGCACTGACAACCACAGATTTTGTGCGTGAAATCGAAAAAAGTGGTCTTAAGTTTCTACCACAGAGTCGAAGCTAAGCTTTGCACCACTTGCGGTAAACAATAAAGCTTAAAAAAAAATAATAATATATTGAAAAACATGAATGAACTTTGAAGAAATCGTAGTATCAAAAATCAGAAAAAAATTATTGAAAATTGTTAAAGAAGTCAATTACCTTCAAAACAAAAGAAGGGTTTGGGCTTACCTCCATCCATTTCTTTCTGATAACCAAAAGATGAAAACGATAAGAAAACATTTCAGTCAAAAAATAGTAATTCCTAAATGTACTCAAAAACTGTTCATTAAATCTTGCAATCAAACAATCTGCATATCCAATAAGAACAATTGTGGATAAAGGCCCTATCCGCTATTGTTTAACATAAAAATGATAAACAATAAATTTCAAATAAACGAATGCAAAAGTTACTAACAATTGCCACAAAAAAAGAATTTGCATTCTGAGGCAAGATTTGAAACGCCTGAGAGTACCCTGACAGCGTCCCATTACATGGTTGAGAATTTCCACGTTAGTTTTCGAAAAAATTACAAAAAAACGTCATATCTGGAAAACTATAAAGATTTCAGCAGTCATTTTTGAAGGCAAGATTGGCAATCCCTGAGAGAACTCTGATTGGCCCGAACTACGGGGTTGGAAATTTCAATTATTTTGAATTTGTTGAAATCTAAGTTTTCTGAAAAATTAAAAACAGAAACATGTAATATCTCAAAAAATACAAGGATTTGAGTAGTCATTTTTGAATGCAAGACTCGCAACCTTTGAGAGTACTCTGAGAGATGCCAACTACATGTTGGGACTAACCAGTTTTGTAATTTATTGTGTAATTTGAGTTTTCTGAAAATTTTAGAAAAAATCAGAAAAAAAATCGTCGTATTTCGTACACTAAAATAAAAGGATATGGGCATTCATAACTGGAAAATCTAAAAAAATCTTATAGTTTAAACGTGAAAAAAAATCTTTCGTTAACCATGCAAAAGAATACGTAGAAAAGCTTAAACGTGGCGAGATAGTGAAGTCCACAACGTAATATATAATAGATTACCTAAAACAAAAGTTGGATTCGGGCTACACAATCTCCGTTCATTTCTTTCTCATAACCAATAGATGGAAACAAAAAAAATTAGGTATAAAAATCGAGATCCAAAAGTTCCTAAATGTGCTCAAAAATATTTGATAAAAATCTTGCAACTAAACAACCTGCATATTACAGAAACAATTGGGTATAAGGTTTGCAATAAAAAAAAATAAGCGAAATACAAAAAATAAAGGCAAATGTTTCAAACAATTTTCACGACAGAAGAAACTGCGGAATACCTATAAAATCTCTGAGGATCTGTAGAAGTAACACAATTACATTAAAATAAACAAGATGAATTTGATACGCAACGTTAAAAGAGCTGGATCAAAACAAAAAATATTGAAAAACACGCAGAGTAAACACTTTTTAAAAAACACAAAAGTTTCAGTCAAGAACCACACTCCTGAATCTCGTGCGACAAACACCACATTTCTTTGTAAATTAAACAGGCAAGTCAAAATTGCAAAAAAATCCAGAAAATTTTTCTTTTTTTGACAAAAATGTTATATTAAAACAAAACGCGATATCATCATTTTGAATCGATTTCAAATAGAATTCCTCAATCCTAAAACACAAACTGAAGTAAAACTAAAACTGATTCCACGCCCTTTTAGCTTTTAAAAAAATATCAGAAACCGCGCTTCCGAAAAAACGTTATCCATTTTATTGGCGTTTTTTTTCTTACGGAAAGCTTTGACGAGCACAAACCAGGAAATCATGAACTATATTAAGCCTTTTGAAAATGAGAGTAGCTATACATCTACAAAAAAAAATTTAAAAAAAAACCGGCAAGTGAGCCGGCAAAAATTGGGAAATCAAAAAAAGTCTACAAAAAATGACTTTATTTAGTAGCTCTTACAGTCATGGATCATCTCAGTAGCTTCAGACCAGCTGTTAAACTGCAGCTGTAAAGGGCTTAGAGAACTTAAACATGATATCACATTCTATCTCGTACAAATTGTCGTTAACTGCGGAAAAAACCATCAAAACCGCAGACTTATTCGTTTCCGATCCCTCCTTCACGGGATGGCTTACAAAACATTGAAGTAGCTGACAAACTCATGGGAAAAACACGGTTAGCATTTGTCCACAAAGCAACAAACCTTTCTTTTCAAGTTATAGCGATGCCATTCTGTGTGATAATGATCCCTTTGCATTTCATTGTTTGAGAAAACAGTTCGGCAAGCCAGGCACGTTAATGGCATTTCTCCTGAAAAAATAGCCTTTGTTATCGGAAATTGAAACAAAAAAACTCATGAGTACAGCAAGTAAAATGATTACCTGACAATGTTTGCGTACGACACAAAAAAAAACAAATCGACGGCGCCAACGTATTGGCCATTTAATAATTACAGACTAATTGGGTGTAGGGATTTTAGCAGACCGGCTTTTTAGCAGGCTCAGAACAATTATAAAGTGTGATAGCTAACTTCAAACGCAGCATTAGCGATTAGCGACCGCTTGCTCCTCTGCGCTTCAATTCAACACGAGTGCTACCGTGCGCGTAACTCATTGTTTTGCCGCAAATTTAGACTGTTGTGTTTTTGAAGTTGATAGTTTTGTTGACAAATTGTGAGCTAATTGACTTAACTGGGGAAGTTTTGCCCAGACTGAGCGTCTTTTTGAGTCTGTCAATCAATCATCCATCACTTTATTACGTTGGTCTGCTAAGACTCATTTTTCACTTTTTATGCTAAAAGATTGGTCTGCTAAACGATCGGTCCCCAGACTATTTGAACAGCTGCAAAAACAATCCGAGTTTAGATTATAATTTAGCTTCCTATTTTTTTAATTCTTAATTTTTTGCTGAAATAATCAGAAGGTCAAAAGTATCATAGTAACCGAGGTTACAGTCAGGAGTCCCTTCATCGCGTATTCCAGTCAAAATCTTTGGAACTTTCTAGACATGGAAGTGATAATGATGAAAAGGAAACAAGTGATGTCCCTACAATTGAACTTGATACGTGTTACTTTTCTTCAATAAGAACACGCAACTCGACACGAGAAAATATAATATACAAGTATTACAAATAAATATTTCGTCGAAAAATATTTTGTCATTTATTGTTCCGAGTACGCAAGCGGCCTTCGCAATCTGTATTGCCAGGGAGATTCTCTGCATTAATTTCCAGAGCCAATTCAATTTTTGCAAGTTCAAATCACCATTTGAGCGCATCATTTGTGCATTTTTCGCTCCTACTGCTGAGGCTAAGAAAACGGGTAAAGCTAGTAGACGGGCGGAAGAAACAACCAAGCCACCTTTGGCTGCCGGGAGACTTGCTTGTAAAAACTGTTTATCATTCATTTTCAATTTGAGGATCTTGCATAACGAATTTCTTATTATTTTGTCGTAGCGTTTCAAAAAATCATTTTGCAAAAAAGAAGAGGTCGTACGCAAACAAAATCTTGAGAATGCGTTAAAATTGTAAATTCAAACAAACGTTTTCGCACATTTTGTGCATCTTCAGGTTTTAAATATTCTTAACTATCTGTACAAAATGCTCAAAGATCATAAATGTTCTAAATGGTTACAGTGTAACATTCGCCCGGAAGATACATATCGACGGATAACAAAACTAAGTCTTAAGACGACTGGCTAGCGTCTAAACAGAGCTTTGCATGTTTTTCACCGTCTCTACCAAGCCAGTACTTTTCGGTGGTCTTTCTTACATCAGGCTGACAAAAACGCTACTGTTCTCCGGCTTCGACCAGAACGCTCAAATTAACTGAATTACATGCAAAGTTAGTGAGCTCATGGCTGGGTCTCTGTATCCCCAGACCACGAGGTCACTCCTAAAAACAGGGCTACTACTTATTATATTACTATTGTTTTTGTTCAGTAGATAAAAATCATCATCTCCATCGAAGATGGATCAACCCTTTCCCCCAACTCCTAGCACCTCATCCTTGTCAAAACTAATCAAAATATCAGTTAAATTCAAGTCAGGACATGACAGGATGCTAAAATTCAATACAAGTTCATAAAAGTTCCCGTCCCGAGACCCTTCCGGATTCTTGAATCCGGCGAATCAAGCTCCTTAACCTCAGGTTCACGCTAACTCGGAGGGCTGGTCTTTACCCTTCACCGTTGTTCGCAACGGCCTTGCAACTATTGTAGCAGCACAATAGTTGCAACTCGGAACGTCCTCTGCTGTTCGGTAGTTCGTTGTTGTTTTTTAGTCTCGATTTTCGTACTGTTCGTAATCGCAGATAAAGTTGTTCTGTTTCTTTCTGCTATTTTAGCCAAAATGGCCGTTTTAACATTTCTCAGAAATGTTACGTCATCACTTCGAAAATTTAAAATTTAGAATTCCAGAATCTTCTAGCCTTCACCGTTTGGCCAATCATTCAAATAACGTCCTTATCCGTTCTAAATCGCCAATCCGGAAGGTTCACTGCTAAAATCCTGAATTCTGCAGAGACTGCATTTTGGCCATTCTGGTCGAATGTCACATACTCCCCGGACAGTGCGGTCAATGTCCTCATTGAATCGCGCAATGTTCTAAATGGTTACAGTGTCATCGAACAGAATTTACAAAATGCACGAAATTACTTTTACCTACGTCACATCGACTCACTGCAGAATATAAATGGCATCATACTACATCACTATAGCCTCCAAATTCTTTCATTAATCTGCACATTGAGGATATGACTTAAGATAAAACATATTTTCTGACTTCCAGTGTCAATGTCCCGATTGAAACTTTTTCTCCTAGATTTAAAAGGTGTTGGCTTGCAGGACAGTCCTGCCAACCAACAAGCTAAAATTATCCTACTATGCTCCTTCCCTTCGGAAATCTTGCTTGTTTATTGTCCTGAATATTAAAACTAAGAAACTTTGTGGTTAGAAAGAACAATGCAACAACCTCCCTCCTCAAGAAGTTACTCAAGTTTTTCATGTCACCACAAAGTTATCAGTCTTCCTAAGTGATTAAAAACAATCATGCAGGCTGGAATATTTAAATATACTCTTCCCTCAAGCCTTTCTAAATAAATAATAAGTGAGTGTCTCTAAAGCCACTTCAACTAAAACCAAAATGCAAATTTATAAATGCAACAATTTCCAAACTCAACTTAAATGCTTCAGTTTTCAATTACAACTTGGTTGCTTGGTTTCTCACTTGAGTTTTTCACACATATAAAACAATTCTGAGTTTTAACTTTTCTTCATCATCCCTTTGTTCTCTTCTTTTTTCGTCGTTTAGAAGTTCTAAAACTTCTAAATTCTTCTAATTTTCTTTCTTGCTGCCTCTTGTTTTCTCGACCATTCGTCAATGCTCCATTTCCTCCTCCTGTGACACTGACTCCGCACTCTCGGTTTCCGTGTCTTGTAGCACGTCATTGACTATCCTGACGCTGTTGGAAGCCGTCCTCCAACACTTCTGCTCTTCCACCCTCTGTTTACAGCAAGGTAGGGGATCCACGTTTGATTCTCTGTTTCTACAGAAGCTGTTGTGGAGACACAACGTCACGTTTCTCTCCAAATCTTCTTTCAGCATCTCTGCCTTCTCATTTCCACTACGCTCGCTCGTCCTGGAAATTCTTTTCACAGCGGTGGTCACTGCATTCCGATGGGTCACGAAAGCTCGCTTGAAAGCTCCTGCCCCAATGTCCAGTTGATATTCACTGTATACTCTGCCATGCTTCGACATATGCTTTTTCGCATACTCGTACAACCATGCAGTCATGTTAGCTCTGAACCATGGCATCAATCGTTTTCTTGCCCATATCTTCTTCACTTCCATCGGAATGTTTAGAACTTTGCACATTGTCTCAAAAAGATCTAAATCTTTTAGACAATCTAATTTCTGCAATTGTTCTCTCGTCGGTGCCTCCTGTCTATTATTTTCTCTCACATGAGCTTCCAGCCATCGTATCGCCATCATAACTCCCACTATCACTATTGTTATGGGCTGTGATGAATCTGGTAAACCCATGGAGAGCAGCTCTCCAGAGTCCCAGATCAACACCAGATTACTACGCTTGGGATACCACCAGGTCTGCAGCAAGCAGTGGCAAGGAAACTCGTCATGTGTCAACATGATGCTCCTCCAATTCCGTTTTCCCGAAGCTTCCAGCAATGGCTCCACTTCCATCATCACTCGGTGGATCTCATCATTCTCATCTACTGCATTGTAATCTGTGACAGTTGATCCTCTCTGTTTCTGTTTTTCAAAGTCACTGAAGTTCCCGCTCACATATCCCATGAACTTCTTTCCTAGTATTGACTCCAACTCCTCTTTGGTTCTCTCTGGAACTGCTGAGAACATCTTACATAGTAACTCGTAAGACTTTTCAGACATTCTCGCCAATCTCACGCACTTTGGCACTGAGAAAGCTCGATCCACGATCGTTCTTGTACTCTTCACGTCCACAGCCACGAAATGTACAGGGTATCTGCTCTTGCACATTGGAGCCAACGTTGAACCCACCAAATCTCGTGCTCCTGAGGGTCTAGAATAAGTTTCGCTGTGTCTGATGTTCATCTCTGTTTCGATTGCTTCCCTCCATTTTCCTATATACTTCTGCTCAGTCTGCAGAACTCCCGGGAATACTTCTACGCTGATGGCTGTGACCATCTCATGTTTCTGTTCTAGATTCAATAGTGACTCTAAAGAACCAAACATGCTGTAGAATCCTAGTGCTGTCACTAGATTCACATCGGTTCCTCCATGGCAATCTGCTATCTGTTCCGTCTCCGTTCTTGCTTTCATCACTACATTTCCAAACAATACCGTCAACTGCTTGTGTTGTTTCTCCAGGGTTTTCACACAGTCTAGACTTCCACAAACGTGACCCTCTAGTCCACAGACTTCCGCCAGACAGCTACCAGGTTTGACCCAGTCTTCTGGTCCCCAGCCAGGCAACTCCACTTTATCTTCTCCGTTGCTCTTAGAGGCTGTTATCATCACATTATATATGATGTTGAGGTCACGCAGGTTACAGTCCGCATTCAGTTCCCTCTGTATGTCCTGTGTCGCCCGTAATATTGAGTCAGCGTTGGGACTAGGACACCACGATGGTTTCATCAATTCCCACACTGCCATCAAGCTCGTTCTCAGTAATTCATCTGAGAATCCCAACCCAAATTCCACTCTCTTGTCGGATTTTGGTACTGAAGGTGCAGTCACCTCTTCTTCCAAGACCAGTCCCAATTTGGCCTGTGAATTGTTGACGCTTTTAATCGTTACAATCCTGGACGTCCAGAA